TAATGGAAGTATATGGTACAAATCTTGTAGGTTAACAGTCCCTCATTTATTATTCAGATGGATCAACTGATTATACTAATAATAAAGTCAAAATAGTTTTTAGAATATTGAATTATAGTGTATTTTTTCAAAAAAGCAGTTACTGGTATACGATCAAAACTGGTATCTAAAGGGTTACATTTTGTTGTGAGTTTTCATAGTATGTTTAATACTTAAAAACGAAAGTTAGTTATAATCAAATATAATCAATTATATTCTTGTATAACCCACAATGAAAATGCTTCATATTTTAGGTTTTTCTATAGTTACAGTATAAACAAAACAAAGTGGTTTGTTTAGGTTGAGTGTGTAAGGTCTATGAGTTATGGGTGTCTCTGAAGAGAGTAGGCCGTTTTCCTCCCTCTCCTCTGGCAGCAGTCCACAGGGAGGGGGGGCTCCAGGCTTAAGGAGAAACACATTAGAGGCCAAAGAGAGTTCATGTCCTTTTCACACTAACATGAGAAGGTGTGTCTTATGTCATAAAGCTATGGAACATGTCGAGGCATGTTCAGCCTTGTATATTAGAGGGCATGCGCAGTTTTCAACTGAATTGGGTGTAGAGGAGGAGTTTGTTTTTTGGGGTTTCGATCCAGTTTTTTTAGCATAAAGAGACTGGTTTTTTGAGAGAGCGCGAGAGAGAGGGGGGGGAAACCCCTGGTAGACTCTCTCCCGGTAGGCTGTGTGCTTCAGAGCTGGGTAACTAGCTATCGGTAAGGTTCTCCCAGATGGGGTAAATATCTCTCGAATTTCTTGGTTGTTGGCTGAGTGGAATGATTTGATGAGAGATGTGTTTGTGAATATTATAACCCGCGACCTGTGTGGACCTTCCTCCGAAACCTTGGCGGATAGGAATGTGTTTTTGAAAGGTTAATCCGCCGTCTGTGTCGGAAAAAGTGTATGAATATTATAACCCGTGACCTGTGAGGACCTTCCTCCGAAAACTTGACGGATAGGAATGTGTTTTTGAATGTTATACCCGCCGTCTGTGTCGGAAAAAAGGTATGAAACTAATGTGAATTGATTTGGTGAATGAAAAGTTGAATGCGCTTTTTAGTGCCACCGGTCTTTTTACGAGGAAATACCTCTAAATTCTATCGGGAGAATTTTAAAATGTCACAACTGAATTGGGCAGTTGAAATTAAAACATTTTGGTAATAAATGTAAGACTGTGAATTAAAGTTTCATATTTGAACATGATCACAGCACCAGGTTTTTAGTATGATTATAATGTTGTGAGAGAGAAGGTAAAAACCCTGTATTAGTTTAGACCTATTTTTCTTCAAATAAACTGAATCCCACCTGTTGGATTGGGATAATTTAAAAGACACCTGTGCCCTCCTCTCCTGCTTCAAAGGTAAGACTGCACCCTGCCACACACACTTAGGTAGGAGCACACTCCATTTACTGATATCAAAATCCTTCGGGATCCCTTAAACAGATTAAAAAAGAGTTGTCTGAATTGAAACAGCAGTTAATTGAACCTAGGTTCTTCGGGGGGTTAATAGAGGTGAGATCTTGCTGACGTTGGTGGATCTGAGCCAAGCAGCAACCTTACATAGACTCAATAACTTCGGAAAGGTCAATTAGTAGGTCAGAGTAATTTACCGGAATAAATTATCAGGACCTCTCCGACTCTAAACAATTTGTATCGTAATTAATTAAATCATTATGTAAATTCTTCATGAAAAATGTGAGGAAAAACATTTGAAAAATATTGATCCGTCATCATTTTATTGCAGTTCAAATACAAATATTTTATGTTAACATTCCCAATGTTACTTTTTTTAACAGGGCATTAAGTGCAAATTGAAATTGTTTACAAAATATGAAAATATATTAAAAGATTATACAGATAATACAAAATAGGACCAATGTTGTCAATGGCTGCCTACTCCACTCTCCCCCATCTCATAGAAGTTTCCAAAGATTTTCATAATCATGCTTTTTGGTCTCAATTTTTCTGGCTCTTGCTTTCGGATTGTTAGCTAAGCAATGGCTTTGAAGCCAAGTCTTGACATATACCTCTGGTTTGAACTTGTTCAGTGGAGGGCCAACACACTTGATGAAAAGCAAGGCTGACATGCAACCTCTAGGGAGCTTCTAGTTGTGGTTAAAATGTTCATCTGACTAAACCCACATTCACACTCAGCTGTGGAGATGACCAAAGTGTTCACTGCTTGAAGGAGGGGTTTCAGCTCTTCTGGTGCTGATGGTATCATTTCATCAACAGTTTTGAGTCTTACCAGCTAGCTAACACGAGAGAAAAATGTATAACTCCAAACTAAGTTGTTATTGCTGCTTATGTCCATAGATTCCACCTTTGGTGACTAAAGTAATGAGTAATGACTAAGATGACTGTTTCTTGACTTACCTGAAATGTTATTTTTAGTATTTTTAAATATGAAGTCCCTCAGATCGCGTTGTCCTCCTGGTTGCTTGGCCATTGTGATGACCGTTACCTGCGCTTCTGGCATCGATCAAACAGGCGCATCACGGCGCTCTGGCGCCCTCTAGGGCACTCGCATAGTATAGCGTCAGTGACTTGGTACAAATGTCATTGCATGTGTGCGTGCTCCCTCGCCCACAGTATTTTACTCAATATGCGCAAAATGTATGTTGAAATAGCAGTAATACCAGTGCCCCGTTCATTGATCAAATTACATAAGGGATGGAAAGGGGGAATGGCAGTTTTAGAAGGGGGTTGATTTTGACCGTTTTTATTTCAGGGGGGATGCCATCCCCCCTCATCCCCCCTCAACTCGAGTACTGATCATAACAATCCAGAACGTGCGGTGCTATTACGTGTACGTAAATTGACGTGCTTGATGTGAACGAGCCTTTTGAGGGGCGTGGTTAAAGTTGCGCATGCTCTATGAGCGCACATACGGGTACTTCTCAGGCATGCTGGGTAATCTGTGACGTTTCACTCTCTCAAAAGTTGGGCCATTTTGTCATCAATGCGCCAATGAGCAACTCTCATAGGAATGAATGAGGCCCCGCCTCCCACGCTGTATCCAGTTCTTATTATACATCCATGTGCTGATCAGACAGGCTTCCGGGTCGGCGATACACAGAGAACAAGCGAAACTCATCCTGAGCACACACAAACACTCACAGCCGAAGTAAAAACAATAAGTGTGGCTTGATATTGAGTAAGGTTTATAACGCTGTGAGCATGGGTCTGTGGAGAGCATTTCTCCGCGATCCCAATGTAGTAGTCTGAAAAACGTTTACCCATTCAAACAGTCGTGGTAGATACCTTGTTTGTTTGGACCAGCAGGAGATTTGGGTACACAACCTGTAAGTATTCATTGTTGTTTGTGTATTTATGATGTTTAAAACAAAGTAGGAACAGCATCGTTCTTCAGTGCCCTACGCTGTACATATCCGGCATGAATCGCTGAAAGGTTTGGAAAGCTTTGTTTCGTGAAAGGCTGGAAGAGGGTGCGGCCATAGCTCTGGGCGTGGCTACTGGGTATCCCTACGTAGCGATACCCAGGAAGAAAATATTGGAAAATGAGAAATCTCCAACGAGGCGTTTTGGGGCGGTATTTTCTGTGTTAGAGTTTTACTCTCTACAGGGTGTACTTTGAGGGTGTTTTACTCTGCAGACCGTTTACATGCATAGAAACCTTCATAACACACAAGGGGATGGGTAATAACCGGAAAAGCATGACATGGGCCCTTTAAAGCATCGAAACAAATCTTAAAGAAGACTTTTTCTGCTCATTTTCAGGATCATGTTTTTATACCTCTACTGTGACATATGTGGCATACAGATATGTGAGAAGTGTAAATTAACTGTAGGGAGAAAGAAGGAAGGAGAGAGGAGACATTGATAGACAGAACAGACCTGTAGGAACTGTCAGTACATTTTTGCAGACAGCATTTTCTTCAGAAGCCCAGACAGGTTTGCTTTAGACTCCCAGAGTAAATGAGCAGCTTCTGCATGAGTTGCTGAGACTGAGGATCAGATTTGCAATGTGTAGCGCACGCTCAACATACTGCAGGCTCGGCAGAAGGTGCTTCAGATGGTGCTGGCGAGAGTGGCTTTATTAAATTCCACAATATGACGGCAACAAAAGGCTCGCAAGTGGGGATTTTCAGACAGCAAAAACATTCTGTGGCTTTCTGCACTTGGCTTTCTGATTGAGTCATCTAATTTCCACCTGCATTGATAGATCCTACAACCTTCACATTTTCCTGGGGTCAAATTTGACTAAATGTTTTAATACCAGAAATATCTGATTGCAACACAAATCACATGGATGATTCAATGCTACGTTCTTGTAATGGAATGGCTTGCTGTTGTTTTATTCAAATGTAAAGCATCTGTGGTTTATATTATTTAGACTTTTTTTTTTTTATTCAGCACTTGTGTGTCAAATAGGTCTATTGACCATTGATTTAAAAAAGAAAAAGGAATATATTTGTATTTCCGTTTTGGATTGAAGTTGGTTAAGAAGGCTTACCACAGAACTGGGTCATAATTTGTTATACTATATTAATCCTAAACTGTAAAAAGTTGCGACAACACGAGTTAAAGCACTACATAACACATTTCTCTGGATTTAGCATAAGAATAGCTTGGCAATATGATTAAAATATGTAAAAATGGATGGTTTCTGATAAATGTTTCATTAAACAATGATACTATGATAAAAGCGTCTTTCTAGCGGGAGTGTCCGTCTTTGAAAGATTCCAAAAAAGTGCACAACAAAAGCATTAAGTTGCACACCCTATGGTTGCACATCACAAGTGTAAGCAACTCAACTATACTGTATAATGAAATATTGAGCATCGTAATTAAATAATCATGAAGGCGTAGCAGCTGTGCTGGAGTGGAAGTATAGAAAGAAACACGAGAAGCATGTCAGCCAAACAAACATGTGCAGGAAAAACAAACTGTCTTTTCAAAAAACCTACAACTAAGCACACACTCCTCACTCTGACACACACACCTGTACTTCATGCCCGTGTGTTTCCCCGTAGACTCCTTGAGAGAGATGTGGCGGGGGGCGAAGGATCCGAAGCTGCGGGCGATGATGGCCACGGTGCGGAACTTGGCCCTGGCTTGGTTCACCACGTTGGGGCTGGTGGTGCTCTGCTTGCCGTGGTCTCCTCCATTCCCCCTCTTCAGGTTGTGGTCCGTGCAGGCGATGGACACCTGCATGGCTGAGCTTCAGTCGGGGGGAGCAGAGCCGAGACGAAGGAAGATAAAGTACAAATGGGACCACGGAGGAGGGGAGATGAAGTCTGGTGGTGGAGGTCTTCGTGTAAAAAGGTAAAGTATTAATGGCACAGGAGAGGAGACAAAGTCAGGTGGTGGAGGTCTTTGAGTAAAAGGAAGGAAAAGTGAAAATGACACAGAAGGAGAGAAGGCAGAGTCTGGTGGTGGAGGTCTTTGTTTTTATATGTCTTGATTCAGCGTCTCTTCCTCTTCAAAGTCAGTGTTAACGTTCGGCAGTTTGCAGTTATTTCTTGAAGATCGATTAAGTCTTTAGTTCCTCGCTTCCAGAAGCAGTCTCTCCATTTGCATCACTTTGTTCTAAAGCTGCAAAATATTTCTTTGTCCTCTCATTTAAAGACTTTCCTTGTAGAAGAGATGAAGGCAGTTGAACAGATCAACCATCAAAAGCACGAGAAGAACAAAAGACTCCTCTGTTCTTTGAGGAATCCCCCAATTTATTTCCCTTTCGCGGCTCCTGTGTCCTGTTCGCTGGTGCAGAGCTCGGGGATTTTTTTCTCAGCTGCAGAATCACAAACGGAGCAGCTGGGGAGAGCAGAGGGATGCAGCGAGAGAGAGAGAGAGAGAGAGAGAGAGAGAGAGAGAGAGAGAGAGAGAGAGAGAGAGAGAGAGAGATGCAACCCAGGCTCTCCCTGCATGCTCTGTGGGAGGAGAGGGAGGAGAGGATAGCAAACGAGAGAGAGGGGGGAGTGAGGGAGGAGGAGACAGGGTCAGAAAAGGGATAAGGAGACAAGTCAGAGAGGAAGCAAGGAGAGGAGTCACGCTCAGGTCTTGCACCTGCAATCAGCACTTTCTCGGCGTCTTGTCACTTCATCTCCTCTCCTCTTCTTCAGTTTCTTCATCTCCTCTCCTCTTCTTCAGTTTCTTCCTCTTCTGTCTGCTGTATAAGGCAACCCGGTATCACAGCAAGACGTGAACATGTGACAATTTACCATGCTGGGAGACGTGAAGATGTCACGATTTCGTCCCAACGTGACAGTTACACAGTATTGTTAACATGGCCCAAATACCCGGAAACGCCAAGCAAATGCTGTACCACGATGGTCGGTTGTTATTGTCAATATTAATATAATAATGATTTACTTTTTAATAGTCACACTCGATTTCACCGATTTTCTTGTTGCCCCAGCTGGTCGACTCCTCTTTTAGCAGAAACAAAGGCTACATTCATGTATTAAATCGATGTTATTACATGTGTGCGGTTGTGGAATTAACGGGCGTGACGTTGTGCGATTGCGTTGCCAGGCAACAACTTGGCTACATGTTAATTTACAAACTCTTCAACTAGAACCGTAGTTATATTTAAAAACATTTTAGAAGGCCTCACGAAATACTTTAATGTACATTTAAATTTAAATGTGAAGGAATGTGTGTATAACAAAATACATCCATCATTAACAATACCGGAAACAGACGTAGGCAAGATCCCCAGCTCGGTGATTGGATGGTTTAGCCGCAATGCACGCTGGGAGATGGTGTTTATGCGATGTGAAATCCAAAAAATAATACTTTATTCCAAGTGTGCTTGCTTTTCTCTTTGAAAGTCATCACATAACGGCATTGTAATACACGGTTCGGCTGCATTAAATATTACATATCTGCCGTAGTTCTCTATTTATAGAGCCCTGATGAGAAGACTTCTAGACAAACAGGAGAACTGCCGCCAAAACTGAAAACGTGATCATAAATATATCAGCAATTAAACAACATCTTAGATTTCTTTTCACACAATACGTCTCCTTGCAGTATCAACACTAATTCGGCTGACTTTTATATTTGATCCAATTGGTAGATAGGCTGTATTTACACCATAACGGTGCACAGCTGATAGAAAGGGACACCTAGTGGTTAAAGCACGTTATTGAATTTTATTATTTTTATTATTAGATATGAATAGGATCCCTATAAAGTATATTCATTACTCGTTATTCTCTACTAATAGTTAATTAAAGACTGTATATAATGACTATTTTGCACATCCCTTTCAAGATTTCAAGATGTTCTAAGGTTTATTGACATATCATATTATACACAACTACGGTGTAGTTATGCAATGAATGAAAAACTTGGGCAGGTTCCTCAACAGTGCATTACAAGACATCTATCAATGTATGTGTATACCTCCAGCATTAAACTGTCATATTCTGCACATTTCTTATACTATCTACATACATCTTATAAGAGTATAATACATATGTATAATATCAGTTAAAATAAGTGCTTAAACATAGTTAACATAGCAGGAAAGCAATATATTAGACGTTAAGTACTTTATCTAATAATACAAATAATAAAATTCAATAACGTGCTTTAACCACTAGGTGTCCCTTTCTATCAGCTGTGCACCTTTATGGTGTAAATACAGCCTATCTACCAATTGGATCAAATATAAAAGTCAGCCGAATTAGTGTTGATACTGCAAGGAGACGTATTGTGTGAAAATAAATCTAAGATGTTGTTTAATTGCCGATATATTTATGATCACGTCAGGTTTTCAGTTTTGGTGGCAGTTCTTCCAGTTTGTCTAGAAGTCTTCTCAGCAGGGCTCTATAAATAGAGAACCTTCAGGGATCTGAGAGGCTCGTAGCGCAACACACACTCTCTCTCTCTTTCACTCAGTCACTCCCACTATCTCTCTCTGTAGCTCCCACTACTTGTCTCACCTGTCAACTATATTTGAAGGTTTCATCCTTTCTAATATCATCCATCCACTCCTTTATTCCCTCTGCGTTTGACACACTATTCTTACAATGTTTGATTTTCTGGAACAGTACACAAGTAACAAATGTGTTTTGGCTCCATGTCCTTCAGCTGTTAAATCCTGAAAAAATAACTAAGAAACCTTTTGGCTCTTTGCTTTAAAATTCAATGGCTTCAAAGAGAACATCTTCTGGTGATTTTCAGGTTCATATTTGTATTTAGTGTCTCTACTGTGACATGTTTGCTTCCTTCAATGTTCAAAAAGCTATTTTTTTTTTCTCATACTGCCTTTGCTGCATCACCTCTTTTCACCCTCTGTCTGAAATCAGAGCCCAGTCTGCTCTGATTGGTTAGCTGGCCGGCTCTGTTGTGATTGGTCAACTGTTTAACATGTACAATTTGTTGGACATTAGCCAATAGAAGCCTGAGTGTTCCATAGTGATGTCACTTTGTTCCGAACTAACAATGGTATTCTTTGTTTCCCTCCAGTATTTGTCTTTCAATTTTCTGGAACAGTCCAGAAGAAACAATATCAGCTGTTAAATCCTCCCAAAATAACTGACAAAACGTTTGGAATTCACTATAAAAAGAAAGCATGTCTACTGGGAAAGGTACATTTAATTGGTCTTATTCTGCGCATGTTTCTGTATTTGAACCAGGGTTAAAATGACTACTAGTTACAAAAAAATGTAATCGGTAACTTAATCTGAGAATCACAATATAAAAGTAATTATTTTTTAGAAATGAAACCTGGTATAATCTTTTTTTATGTAAGGGAATACAGTCACCTTTATCCTGATTACGTGATCCCATTACATGTAATCCATTACTTCCAAAGCCTGATGTGAACACATACAAAGATCATCATTATGCAGCAGCTATAGTACGTGCAAGTAAAAAACATATATTTGCTGACATTAAAGTCATTTTTTTCCCTTAATCCCCTCACACACTGTAAAAACAACCCCCACAGGCAGCTACAAATCAAAGCAACGAGAGGAGGATGGACGAGATGGGGGAGGTGTGCAGAGATTGAAATCAAGAGAAAGGAAAACGATGAAAGCAGCTGGAAAGCAGTAAGAGCTGAGGAGAGAGACTTAATGCTGCTGTGATGCTGATAAAAGCATACAAGTGTGTGTGTGGTGTGTGTGTGTGTGTGTGTGTGTGTGTGTGTGTGTGTGTGTGTGTGTGTGTGTGTGTGTGTGTGTGTGTGTGTGTGTGTGTGTGTGTGTGTGTGTGTGTGTGTGTGTGTGTGTGTGTGTGTGTGTGTGTGTGTGTGTGTGTGTGTGTGTGTGTGTGTGTGTGTGTGTGTGTGTGTGTGTGTGTGTGTGTGTGTGTGTGTGTGTGTGTGTGTGGTTTGAATGTCAGGAGTGTAGTGTATATACATGAAACTGTTTTGACAGGATAATCAAACCATTTTTCTGGACAAAACATTGAAATAGTTTGTGTTAGATATCTACATTGTCAGCAGATGCTTTTACTGTAATAGCTCATAATTGTCTAACATCAACACACCATTTAAAACATTTTAATGGAAGAGGATATTGACACTGCAACACTTGCACCTGTTTTATCCATAGACTGTATGGTTTTATCACATCTGGTTCTGGGGGTGGGAGGCACAGAGCCAAGCAAATACATATACATACATTACATGGAAAATATTTCATCACTTCACACAATGTGAGTCACATACACATCTGTTTGTTAGTTCCATGCAATCATTCTCGGTATTGTTTTGAATGATTAGAATATAATAGTTTGAGGTCAAATAAATATACGATAGATTCAACCACGTTACAAACCTCAATACAAATGGCTGCTGCTGCTAAATGACCTTGTCGCTCTGGAGTCACTCAATGAGAGTCTTGTGGACAGAGACTAACCGAGGCCAGAACTGCCTGTTGAGGCAATTCATTAAATCTAACTGTGACTGAACTGCAGTGTGTTTTTCCACCGCTGTATTTCATCTATTTAATTTCAACAGCACAAAGGCTCAATCTTGCAATGAGCCTTCTAATCAGCTTTCATCTATGCCCCTCTATAAACCACTCAACAAGAACAGAGGCTTTAACAAGAACGTACAGGACATCCGATTGTTTGTAATGCAATATACAGTACAGTGTTGTTTAGAAAAACAATTTCAGTCCTCTAGAAATGAACTCTTCATATAATCTCAAGCCCTCCTGTCCAATCTTTCCCCCTTTATTGCCAAGATGCACAAAGTCTCAAATCAATTTCAAACCTAAAAGAAAAGCTGTACTTGAGCAGCTCACTCGAGACTGATTGCGTCCCACTCCTCAGGGGAACAGCAGATTCCCAACCACATGGAATTGAAGCCGGGTTAAATTATCTTTCCTCTAATGAGGAGATGAAACGTGCCGAGTGAAAAAGGGCTGTGGTTGCAAAGTGTGTTACTGTCCTGGAGCAACACATCAGTCTCCATCCATCAGTGTCAGAAGCTGCAGGATGAAATGTGTGTGTTGTCACATTTCTTACAATAGTGTGTGCCTTGATGCAGGTAGAAAAAAAAGCCTGTTCACATTGTCTTTTCCATTAACCAGTCTTTAAACACTGTCAGAGCCCATATTGTGTTCCTGTTAGTGTTGACTTCCTGTCGGTCTTCCTCTGCTGTGAATCACTGCTCCCACGACATATAATTACCATATAATGCTAAGTGTGTGAAGGATGTGTGCAGCTATAAACTCTAGTTAATGAAACTAAGTCAGAGTCAGTGAACACTGGTGAATTTGAAAACAGCGGTTGCTATCAATAATCTACTAAACCTCCTTATACCAACCATT